ATATATATATATATATATATATATATATATATATATATATATATATATATGACCTTACATATGGTCATATTTAATTATATATGTCTAATTATACATAAAACAAATACTGTTGAAAGAAAGAAAGAAAACATAATTTAATTTAACGTCGACATTATAGGTTATCATAAATGTAAGCATTTATTTCAATTGTGTCTTCATAAGACATTCTTTTTAATATAGACATATATAATTATATATGATCATATATGGTCATATGTGGACAAAATCCATTTATGAACATTTTTTCCCGGGATAATATCGATATTATAATGTCTCATACAATGTAACTGTTATATAACACTGTATGTTATTTGTATATTGTTGTGAGAGACATAACATCAATATTACTGATATTTGGTACTCATTGGGAAATAATAACTATTGTAACTTTCATTTATGTTTATAAGAAGTTTTCTGCTTAAAATTGATCCCAGGAACACATCTCTTAGTATGTACAAGTACGTACTTAGTATGTACAATTTGTCATGGGATACTCTGCATATGACCTATATATAAATTTTGTCTTTATATATGATCATATATTTTATATATATATTTACTGAAAAAAATGCTGGTGATTGAAGAAAAGAAGAAATATTTTATTCTATTAGACATCGACACTATAGACTAGCAAAAACATAAACATTTACTTTGATTTTATTTGTACAACAGCATTTTTTCAGCGTGGATATATATTGGTTGCCTCAGATCAATATGTGAAGCTCTCGTGGAGGCATAATACGGAGTACTATTAAAGTGAACATAAAAGTCCTATATTGTTTAGCGATATTTGCAATAATTATCCTAATAATTATTGCAAATACACGTAATCACCCGTAAATTTTCTCTAATTAATATCTCAATAATTATTGCGAACGTCACAAAATGATATAGGACTTTTATGTTCTTCTCAATCCGTACTATGTCTACGTGAAAACTTTGGAGGTCGTTTTAGGGCACTCTGTATAATTATGTGTGATTATATATGATCAAACAGAAGAAACATGAAGAAACAGAATTCATGTATCATCATTGTTTTCCGGGAAGATAAGTAATACGTCGGCTTCCCAGCGCGATCTTTCAGGAACCGCTGAACGATGGGACATAGAGGACGGGAGATTTTGCGGAGTTACGCGATTATGAGAGACGTCTAAAAGGTATATTGACTTCAATTACACGCTATTAAGGACACCCTCAAATTGATCGATGTTCTGGCGCGTTCACGTCCGAATCGAATGAAGAACGCGCCTTCCCCTACCCTCGCAACGCTTTTTAATCCTACTGTAATAATTGCCATAGGTAAATTGACTCTAATGACACCGGTTCCCGAACGATCGTCAACCTTCGACCGAGATTTTACGGCATGGAAAGTTATTGGGAACTAAACGGCTGGACTCCCAGCAACAAATTTCAATCTTACTCCACATTCGTTGATGAACGAGGCGCGGACCTAGGAATTTTTATGCGAAAGTTCCTCCGTGCGAACGAGGAGTTCAATGTACTTTCTCGAGATTATGCGATGTCGCATTGGTATCCGCAAAATCGATACTGAGATATACTGGTCCGCTTAATAAAGATCTAAGGCGTTTTACAATTGATCGATTCCTAAATTTCTGGAAGCCGCGCGCCGGTGCGTCCGATGCTAAGACGATCTCACATTCTCGTGTAAATTCGCTAAATCTAACGATATCTTTCTCATCTTGCTTCTGTCGCAGAATTTAAGTTCAAGATCACCTTAACTAACAGAACAGGTAGAACAGAAAATCATGATGACGTCAAAGTGACGAGAAAATGACTTTAGAAATTCACTTTTCGATCGTGATTCGATTATTTACTCGTCATTTCGACATTATCGTGATTTTCTGCTCTATCTAGGTAATTCACTTTCGTACCGGACGCATCGCGCTATATGATACTCGTATGCGTATTCTTATCGTTTTCTAACACTCTAACAATAACAAATAAACACGTGAACAAACACGTTAAACGTTGAATAGTCGTACGAGCTAAGGCTTCGCATTATTATATTATATTATATATTTTATACGTTATATATAGATTTAATCACACACACACACACACACACACACACACACACACACACACACACACACACACACACACACACACTAAAGCGTCTGCGCGATCCTTGCGATCTTTTTCACGGATCGCGTACCCGAATTGTCCGATTAAAAGAAGAAGAAAAAGGAGAAACAACGTATCGTCGCATTGACGACGGTAATTGCAACCGAACGAATTATATCGACGAATAATACTCGCGAGATTTCACGAATCGGAGAGCGTCGACAAATCGTGGACTAGAAGTATGCGAGATCAATCGGTATCTTTTTTTTTAGCAAGATTCGCTGTACGTCGCTCATCTAACTCGCTCGCCGTCGACTACTTCCAGCGAGAATTCCATCGCGCGATCAGCCTTCTCGTCGATATCCCGGCGTAGTTCCGACGCGCTCGAAAGATCAAAGGACCTCGGAAGCGGAGATACGCCGATTACCGTGCGAGGTTTTTGCCTTGCTCTGACTTGCAGGTCGTCCCAACCAAAGTCGCGAGTGTGCAAAGTAAAGGCCATCACACAAAATTCCGTAAGAACTTAAAACGTAAGCGTAAAGAAATCGACCAATCCCAATCGATCACTCGGCTCTTCGTAACTCCTCCATTATTACGAAGAGCCGAATACTCGATTGGGATTGGTCGATTTCCTTACGCTTACGATTTAAGTTCTTACGGAATTTTGTGTGTGATGGCCTTAAGCCCATATAGTGAATCGGTCTCAAGGAACGCGCAGTATAGTGTTGTTGTAGATACTTTCATCGGATAAGGCTGCGTTAATTATTGTCTTTTTCAGCGTTCGTTCGCTCCTGTGCGGAAACAGCTGGCTTCAACCCCTTCCCCTCTCTCCCTTGGTCACGAGTGAAATTTCGCTTGCTCCTTCGTTCTCGCGAATTGTCTTCATGATCTCGTTGGATAATCGGAACGTAACTTTCATTATTCGCGAATAATTCAATTTGATATCCTTCGTGTATATCTTTTGAAATGAAAAGTATTCAAGAACAAAAAATGACTTTACGCTCACACTCACGCTAACGAGGGATCTCCTTTGATCTCGCGAAATCTCGTCCTAGTTGCTCGAATGTCCCGGCAGCATTTTAACGACACCAGGATTAAATTATAATCACCTCAGTTAATTCTTTTTCTTGCCACGAAGCGTGCGGATATGTCTCTCGCGTCCCAGCAAACATATAGTCTGTTCTTTTCAGCTGCACTGCTGAATTGGTGCAATAAGTTAGAGTGAGAAAATATACATTTATTTTACTTTAACTTATTGCACCAGTTCAGCAGTGCAGCTGAAAAGAACAGACCAATGATAACATCGAATGACGTATTAATGACGTTTATTGATGTATTATTGACGTTACAGACATGTTATCAATACGTTATTAATGCGGCATTTGACATTATCCTGCTTTTGAATGCATTGCGAAAGAAAAGTGATCACGATCAGGACTAGCGTTGCAATTTCATTGTAATTTTAATAATGCATATTTTACGTAGAATGTGTTACACGCCCGCGCACGCGCACACACACACACACACATATACAGGGCATCTCAAAAATTGTACACACCAACTCCATAGAGGTGTACAGCTAAGCGAGAGGATTAGAAAAGTCCTCTTCCATTTAGCGATAACGCATCTAGTTTGTTAGTAACAACCGCGTAAAGTTTGGCGTTTGTCACGCCCATCGCAGCCTATAGATGCTCCGCGACGAACTGTGTGCGTCAGAGCGGCTTGCGCTGACTCCCGCGATGGCGTTTTGACGCTTTAATGCTGCTGGCGCGCGACAAGGCAACGATGAACGCGCCGCGTTACCGCTCGGCCTCGACGCACCAGCTCGCCGCGGAGTGTCTATAGGCCGCGATGGGTATGACAAACGCCAAACTTTATTGTAATTTTACTTGTATTGTTTGTATTGTATTATTGTTTTATTGTATTGTTACTAATAAACTAGACACGTTATTGCAAAATGGAAAAGCACTTTTCTGCTCCTCTCGTTTAGCTATATGCTCTTATGGAGTTGGTGTGTTACAATTACGAGACACTTTGTATATACAGGGCCTCTCACACTCTTCTTCGGGCATTTTGTGGGGACGTAGAATGGGTTGATGTGAACATAAAAGTCTTATACTGTTTTGCTAAATTCGCAATAATAATCGAGATATTAATTAATAAAGATTAAGGAAAAACGCACGCTGAATGGTAGAGGACGGACCGCTCGAGTCACAGCGCGGCCCAATAATATAGGGCGCGGATGTCGCGCGCGGTGATTGGAAGACAATGCACCACTACCTATACTTATACCGCTGCGCTTCTATGCTTGCCGCACCGCGCCGAGATAAGAATAGGCAGTGGTGCATTGTCTTCCAATGTCGCGCGCGACATCCGCGCGCTTTATTACTGGGTCGCGCTGTGATTCGAGCAATCCGTCCTTTATCATTCAGTGTGCGTTTTTATTTAACATTTTTAATTAATATCTCGACTATTATTGCGAATATCGCAAAACGGTATAGGATTTTTATGTTCGCATCAACCCATTCTACGTCTCTACAAAATGCACGGAGGAGAGTGTGAGACACCCTGTATACAGGATGTCTGACTCGTACTGTATCAGAGCTAATATACAGGTGTCCTGCGTAAGACGTACGAAAAGAAAAATATAAGTAGAACATATAAAAGTGAACAAAAATTGTATAGGTCATTTTTCAAACAATCACGTAAAATTTTGAGATATTAATTAAAATAGTTGGGCATATCAGAGCGCGGCGACGCGGCAGGCGGGCAAAGGAACTGGAAGGACACACACGTACACGGACGCAAACACGGAGTTATTCATTTCAGTATGCCAAACGATCCACCTCTCCGGTCTATAAGATAAGCCCGCGTCCGATAAGCAATCGTCCATTTTTTTCGCCGGCCGCGGCGAGCTGTATGTCCCGCCTGTTGTGTCGCCGCACTCTGATATATCCAACTATTTTAATTAATATCTCGAAATTTTACGTGGTTGTTTAAAAAATGATCTATACAATTTTTGTTCACTTTTATGTGTTCCACTTATATTTTTCTTTCCGTACGTCTTACGCGAGACACCCTGTATAGCTAGAATAGGTCGGGGTGAGTAATGGAATCGATGTCCTTTTTTAAACAAACACGTAAAATTTTGGATTATTAAATAAAGTAGATGGGCTAATCAGATCGCGGCGACATGGCAGGCGGGACATACGGCTCGCCGCAGCCGGCGGAGAAAGTGGACGATTACTCGCGGACCTATCTCATAGGTCCAGGGATGTCAGATCTAAAACGCAATCACCACCTCTGGGCCTATGAGATTGGTCCGCGAACAATCGGCCATTTTCTTCGTCGGCCGCGGCAAGACATATGTTACGCCTGTCACGTCGCTACTATCTAATTAGCCTATCTATATATCTTTATTTAATAACTCGAAATTTTACGTGGTTTAAAAAAAGACACCGATTCCATTACTCACCCCGATCTATTCTAGCTATATATTAGCTCTGGTACGGAACGAGTCAGACACCCTACACACATACACACACACGCACGCGACACACACACACACACGCACACACACGCCCGCCCACGCGCACACACACACGCACACACATACGCACATACGCACGCACACACGCACGCACACACAGGGTGTCTCACGCTCTCCTCCGGGCATTTTGTGCGGACGTAGAATGGATTGATGTGAACATAAAAGTATACCGTTTTGCGGAATTCGCAATAATAGTCGAGATATTAATTTAAAAAGTTAAGGAAAAACTCACGCTGAATGGTAGAGGACGGACCGCTCGAGTCATAGCGCGGTCTAGTAATATAGCGCACGTATGTTGCGCGCGGTGATTGGAAGACAATGCATCACTGCTTATACTTATACCGTTATGTCTTGCCGCACCGCGCCGAGATAAGAGACTGCCGTCGTGTACTTATACTTTAGATCAAATTGTACAAAAAAGTCCTCTATCATTTTACAAATAATTACATAGATTTTTAATTATTAATTAAAGAAGATAAGTGCATTATCACGCAAAATCGTGCAATAATCTTCTTTAATTAATAATTAAAAATCTATGTGATTATTTGGAAAATGGTAGAGGACTTTTTTATTCAATTTGACTTAAAGTATAAGTACATGATGGGAGTCGTCGCTATTATAACTCATTTACCATATTCTGCATGATCATTTACAAATTTTCTACAATTAATATCTCGATAATTATTGCGAATATCGCAAATAACGGTATAGGACTTTTATGTTCACCTCAACCTGTTCTACGTCCCTACAAAATGCCCGGAGGAGAGTGTGAGACATCCTGTGTATATATATACATGTATACATATATATATATATATATATATATATATATATATATATATATATATATATATATATATAACACACACACA